GGGGGGGGGGGGGGGGGCAGGGCCCCTCAGCCCTTGTTCAGTGCCCCACAGCGCACAGCGATGCCAGCCAACGAGCCCCCGCAGCCAACCGCACCGTGGTGAGAGGTGCCAGGTAGGTCTTGCCACGCAGGTCCAGCAGCGGCTTTTCCCGCGCTGGCAAGCGGCCCTCCACATAGGCGGCCCGGTTCGCAAGCGCGGCAGCTGCTCCAAGGTCTGCTGATGCTGCCGCCACTGCCGCTGACGCTGCTACTCCTGCTGCTGGTGCTGTTGATGCTGCTGTTCCCGCTGCTGGTGCTTCTGCTGCATCCCCCTCCGATGGCAGCGCCGGCGCTGCTGCTCCTGCTGCACCTTCAGAGCACGACAACTGTGCTGCTGCGCACCTTCCTGGCTCCGCTGCATCGTCGACCACGGGTTTGTCATCCCGGTGTTGGACCCCGTCGGCGGGCCCCAACTCTTCACCTGCCGCTGCCAGCAGCACGTCTGCTGCGGGGGTGTTACCGTGTGAGGGTTCTGCATAGAGGTCCTCCAGATCGTCAGCCACCGCCTCCGGCCCGCTTTGCCCGACATCGGCCAGCACCAACTTGACCCGCTTGGTTGAGCGCTCAGTGGATGCCCCTGACACCTGCTGCTGCTGCTGCGTGCTGGACTTGCCATGTGACTGGCCTCCAGCCTGCGGAGCCTGCTTCTGCTGCAAACGGGCGTGCTCCCTCTGGCCCTTGCGTGACTTGCCAGGGCCGGGATCCACTCCCAGTGACGCCAGCACCGCGTTGGCGCGTGAGAAATCATAGCGCCCCTTCCACAGCGCCTGCTGCACATCCTTATCCAGGGTGTTGACTGGGCGGTCAAACGAGCGCAACGCGGGAAGCGGGGCAAATGCTGCGTCTGGCAGTGAGGCTGCCGCAGGCACAGCGCCCTCTGCGGCGGCTGCCGGTGCCACTGTCGCTGGCGCTAGGACTCCTGGGCCACCTGCAGGCTGCTGGCGCTGCTGCTGCTGCTGCTGCTGCTGCTGCTGCTGCTGCTGCTTTGCAGCACCCCCAACCGCGCGGGCACTTTCGCCAGATGCGTCCTCGTGCGTCGTGGCCCAACGGCAGGTGATACTGTATGGGCATACAGAGCCTCCGGATGCGAACGGGCACCTGCCTGGCAGATCGCGCGGCTTCGAGGCCAGATAGCTGCTGGTATCGTGACTGAACCGGCACCCGTCGCCAAAGCTGCAGGTGCCGGTCAGGTGACTGCTGCACACCCGGACTGCCTTCTGGTCGCTACGCTCCTGCACGACGACGCACACAGAGCGGCAAGCGAGCATTGTGAGTGTGCCTGCAGGACGGGTTGCAGATGCCCCACATGCTTCAACTGCAGTGGTGCGCACCTGCATACGGCTCATGGGACTACACCCGGGTGCACTTCCAGCAGGTTCGAAGCACTCCCTCTCACCCGTTTCATGCGGGTCCTGCTCTTTGCCTCGACCGCGGTGCCGCCGGTGGTGACTGCCGCGGCAGCCGGTGGCGACGCTCCTGCTGCTCCAGCCACGGCAACCAGCATATCGCCCGCCTTGCCTTGGTCAGCGATGCCATGGCCGCTCCTGAACACGATATACTGCTTTTTTACGGGCGCCACAGACTTTGCGATCAAAAGCTGGGCAAAGTCTTCCATCCTCTTGTGTCCGCGAGAATGTTTCAAAACCTTCTAGTATCTCACACCAGACGGTTTTCCCATGTGTTTATAAATGAACTACGGTACTGGCTCAACTGACGGCAAACCCTTCCATCAACTCTTGTCAGATCTCTCGGTCTGCCTGCACCCGTTGTGAGAACGTTAGCGCAGAGACCGCTGGTAGAAAACCGCAGGCAGCCAGGCACTGCCTTCACTGCGCCGTGACATTCGTCATCGGCGCCGCCAACTGCACGCGAGGCCCAAGCACCGCGCCGCGCCAGCTGCTGCGGGCGCCTAGGGCAGGCTGCCATCTGGCAGGGAACAGCGGGCTGCCATCTGTAGACCGCGAGGCGACTTCATCTTGCGATCTAATAGGTGTGGTAGCCAGCGGTCTGCGACAGCAAGCTGTGCCTGCACAGCAGAGTCGCCGGCAGTTGGCACACTGTCCATGCGGTCCGAAAAGCAGTGTGTCGGTAGCGGCACCAGAGCAGTTGCGCAGCAGCGGGTCCTGAATGAGGTATCAGCTGCTGATGTCGAAGTGTTTTGTTTGGCCGTTGACTAGCCAGCAGGTGTGTATTCTTCGTGGAAGCTTGGCCGTGAGTGGTGATGACAGTTGATGAGCCAGCACAACCTTCCACCTTCCCGTTTTGTTGGCCGTGATCGCCGCAGGTTCTGGCTCCAGCCTGCAACCTCATCAGGTGGCGACGCCATGGCGGACCCTGACGGCTTCGCGGCGTTGTCCTCGCCTGGCATGGACCCGCCGGACCTCAAGCTGCCAGATGAGGCGGCCTACGTCAACAACATCTACTCCATCTACGCAGCCCTCGTGCGTTGTTATGGGAGTCTTGGGTCTGGGGTGCGATCGTGTGTGCAACGCAGCGCGCTCATACAAGACTGAGCCTTGATGCTACAGGGTGCATGCCCGCAAGTGCCGACAGGGGCCCCTCTCCTACGCCCTTGCAAAGACCTGATAATATTTATGCATTATCCTCTCAACATGCCAGACCATAAATTCTGCAATTGGCGGTGCATGCCTGGTGCTGTTCCTGATCTTCAGGGCGTTCATGCCGCAATACCAGCTACGCAGCGTAAGCAGATCGTCCTGGGAGGGTGTTTGGGGTCGTGCAGGTTCGTCTTGGCCGCTATTCTGGCACGACTTGAGCCTGTGTGGCATTTGGCATGCTGCTCTGACAAGCTGGTGCCGCTCCTTGTATGCGTTGCGCCCGGACCCAGCAGCTTACTCATGCACGCATCAACACAATTGTCAATAAATGTACTCCCCCCCGCTGCATCCCGGTCCTTCCAGGTGCTCAACTGTGTCACAATCAAGCCGCCACCTCTCCCTTCCGGCCTGGGCCGCCTTTTCGGCTGGGTCGTGCCGGTGCTGACAACCAGTGACGTGTGGCTGCTGCACAGTGCGGGCCTGGACGCTCTGGTGCTGGCCAAGACTCAGGCCCTGTGCATCCAGCTGTTCCTGCCCATCACTGTCATTGGCTGCTGCTTTCGTAAGCGCTGTAGGGCCAAGCGTGCCAGTCGTGATGCCTGCCCTGTTGTGCACTGTCTCTCAAAAGCGCCCACCTCACACTCCTGCAATAGTCGAGGATTGTCAGCAGTGGGTGGCTTTCAGACTGCTGCCTTTGGCCCCAGTCTCGTTGCTGGCTCTGCTCTCAGCGACCGCGCACCCGGCCCTTTGCAGTGATGCCCCTGCAGCTGTCAGAGGCATTTGAGAAAGGCGACACCACCTTCAGCCGCTTGACCATGGCAAACATCTCACCCGGGTCCAAGATCATGTGGGCGCACTGGTAGGTGCTGGCATGTTGAGGGCCATCTGGCTGGCGCTATGTAATTGGATGGTCAACCAACCCCGCGTGCGCAGCCAGGCTGTTGTTTTCGGTCTGAGCCCCTTCCTACAGCAGCCAGCGCGGCGTGATCCATTGTTTTGCACCTTACCGACCGCTGCACTGCCTCTGCCTTCAGGGTGTGCACATTCGTATTTCTGGGCTGGACAATGGTGCTGCTGGAATGGTAAGGAGGGGTTGGCATGGCGCTGATTCCCAGCAGCATGATCCAAGCGCGTGGACACTGTGCGGTTGCGCTCGCTCTGGGCTGGTCGGCACTGCCTGACTGCTTCTCCACTACACTCTCGGGCCTGTTGCATTGCGCCGCAGGCACTTCCGTGAGTACGTATCTTTGAGGTGAGGAGGCTCGATTGGCTGTGCGGCTGAGTTTCGTCCTCCTTGGGGTGGCCGTGTTGATCCCTCACAGGTGTCGCCCTTGCTGGCTCGGACCACAGGCAGTTTTACTTGCGGGGTGGTGACGGGTGGAACTACTGGCGCGAGCTGCACATGGCCGAGGCCGACGGCGTGGACGTGCACACCCGGTCAAAGTTTGCGGCAGTGGTGGAGGTGGCCAAGATGGATGGGATACTCAAGGTTTGCGCCAGGAAGCGGTGGGGAGACGATTTTGCTGAGGCTCTGGCAGCCAGTGATAGGGCTGCTGCATGAGCAACGGCGTTGCGGGTATAAGCAATGTCAACGCTTTGTTGTGTACAAGCATCGCACCCCAGCCCAGCCTTACCCTTCCCTTTCCTCTTCCGCTCTTGCACTCACTCATTGGTCCCCTGTCCACTAGACCATGGCTGCGGAGCGGCATGTCCCCCTCACCTGGTGGCGCAAGACCCTGGCCTGGATAACGTCATGGACAGGTGGGTGGAGTGACGTGGGAGCACGGGGTCTGGGGTGTGGAAGGGCATGATTAGCCCCCAGCCCCGCGGTTTTGGGCTGTCGGCAGTCACCCAGTGATGTCCATCCCATGATCACCACCACTTTCTCACCCTGGCCAGTGGCCTCTTTGCTGCCAGGA